CACACACACACACACACACACACACACACACACACACACACACACACGCGCGCGCGTTAAGATCTCCTGTGTACCACGTTTCGTTATTTATAAATGGTACCCAGGTAAGTGGAGCGCCTGCTAACTACTTAATACTGAGTAATCGCAACTTGACATATGCTCTGAATTTAATAAAAGGTGTGTTAAAATTAAATATCTAATAAAATACTACTAATTATGACAAATAAACAGCTTTGTGGCTAATAAATAAAGTGTTAAGCATAATATGATATTAAACAGGTGGTATAAAGATGTTTTTTATACTTCGGCTGTATGTAATTAGTAAACAAAAAAAAAAATTAAAAGCAGTTAAAGTTGTATGTATGTTACGCTATAATTCGTGAACCGATTTAGATGATTACTTTTTGTTGGAAAGAGGGTAGCTCAGTAGTGGGCCCTTTTAACTTTGAAGAAAAGATTCCACCTCTAAGGGTGGCAAACTAGGGGATGAATCTGTTTTCGAGCACTTTCCGGTAACCGATTTCAATAAAACTTGGCAAATAGATGTAACTCCACGAACTTTTGAGGTCGGTTTTTTTAGTACTGTTTACTGATGTTATAGTTATGGTTTTACCGTACACTGCCACTCGTCATCTTGTACAAGTACACATTATCGAGATGTAAGCACAGATGCTTGTAACTTGTCACAGTGGTCATTTGGATGATCTACAAGTCTACATCGGCATATCAAACATCTCAATGAGAAACGTGAATGAAAAGAACTATGCAAGTGGAAGAAGCGGATAACATATTTCAGGATCGCATCAAGCTCAGGTCGATAGTCTCCGCCTGCCAATAAGCTGTCACATTGATGACTCTTTATTGTAAATGTTCTTTTCGTAAGATAGCTGAGGTGAAAAAGAGGCCACATTTACGTTAACGCAATTAAGGTACAACGCATTGCAAGTGATATAAGTATACCCTTTGCACACGGCGTGGTTTTCACGCGTTAACGTACATTATATATAAAATATGTCGTGCAAGTACGTGCTGTACGGGCGGTACAGACGGCTGTGACGGGTGGTGGAGCGCGTTGGAATCGATTCAAAGTAGGTATTCAAACGCGCGTAAAACGCGTTATGGACGAGCTACTACAGCTACTTGTTCTGCGCTTTGTAGTTGCATTTGAATCGATATAAATGCAACAATCTGCTTTTTGATTCTCTACGGCCGTAAACGCAATTCGTCTGCGTGTGGGTGAATATACAAAGACAAATGTGGACGTTGTTTCAATGGAATAAAAATTTAAAATAGACTATTCACTCATTTTAATAATTATAACTTACAAACATCGACTTGTTCTAAATGTTGCAACAACTTATTTCATGTTTTCATGAGAATTAAAAACAAATCTGTAAAAAACTACTCAAGAATGAATTACCGGAGCCTGATCTACTCTGTACAGTTTACAAAACTGTGATACATTGACTTGGTAGGTCAATGGATATTAAAAAGAAAGTTACCTGTAGAACGTCAAAATAGTGTAAAGTAACTAAATATTGGACTAATTTTTCATAAAATTTCAACGAAAAATGTAAAATTTGACAATTAAAGTCTACATTTACACGACGCGCGAAACGAAACTTAAGTTTTTATACACGTGTAAAAACGCCGTGTGCATCCCACTTAACGCTGAAAAAACACGTTGCAATTTTATTTGTCATGATCGAGCGAATATTGTGCGTGCGCGCGAACAAACGCGGCCGACCTTGTTTGTCTCCAGACATCTTAACATAATAATTTGCAAATAGTACTTAGGTATTAAGGAATAAAACACAAACTATGTGCCTAATATAGTCAAAATATTATCTTTAGTGATAACGCTAAGTTTCTTAGTGGGTATTTAGATCAATATACAATAACGAATCTAGGATTATTATTTACATATACATGTATCTAATATTAGGTAATTATCCGAAAGAATTTCAAATAATGGAAATTTTATATTAGAAAAATTGGAAAAATATTCTTTTTTGTACCTTCCATATTACGTAGATATTTATCATGACCCAACACTACATATTAATATTTCATTTATTTGAAATCCGATTAATGAATGGAAATAAAAGTATGTCAAATCAGATGGTTTGTCTTTTTACTTAATTATTATAATAACACTGTTCTGTGCAAACAGTGTCACTGTAAAATAGTAACAACCTCCCTGGAGTACGTATATTACTAACATAATACACAACAATCTTTGTTCTATGACTTTTAATCGAGACTTGGAAATGGAATTCGTAAACAAGATAGCTCAGAAGTGCACCGAAGCTCACCAACCCAGGCTTCGCCATCACGTGGACGTCGCCTTGACCACACAGATATAACATTTAAAACGGATAAAACCATTTGAACTAGTGTAGTATATGATTAAACTAAATAAGTGCCAATGACACTGAATAAAAATAACAAATGATAAAAGTGTCTTAATAGATAATAAGAAAATTTCCAGTGGGTGAATTCTTAGTATAATCTGTTTATTTAATATTTTAAGTGAAATGTAAATTACTTATTAGTCTTGTATTTGACTAGATTGTAATGCATTCATAATGTACTTTACCCTTAGACTTTACTAATGCTTCTAAATAAAACGAAAAAAATTACTTTTATTAATTCATCAGATTTTACTTTCGTTCAAAAATAAAAATATTTTGAAATAGATCGCTCTAAACTGTGATAGCTCTAGGGGTCGGGGTTCGGCGAGACTTAAAAAGTGTCAGATTACAGCAAAAACTTAAAAGTTTAGTTTTGGTATGTTTATTACATTCTGTAAGAAGACATGGAACAAAAGCTGTTGTTTATGGTTTAGTAATAGATTCCTCGGAAATTGTTAGTAGGTATTTTAAAAATAACTCTATAGTATAAATAGTATAAATATTAAGCTCAGCAGTAAGAGTACGTCAAGCTTGACACTTCAGATTTAAATATCCGTTCAGATTTAAACTCCATACCGCTTACGATAAGAACAGTTCAAAATTCAAAAGGTCAGGCAAGATATGCTTTTGGCTTTACATGTATAACCAACACCTAAATGTAAATTTTATCTATCGATCATGTTATAACGGTTACATGGATGGCCTCATACAAGGAAAATAAGTACAATGTATTGTTTACAAGCGAGTTTTCCTTATCACGTAGTGGAGAAGAGTCCAATATTTTTTGTTACATCACTAAAAACTAACGTTTTATAACGAAGTTTGCTCACAGTTCCAGTCTTTGAAATATTGTCTAAATTTCATTGGTTCTCTACCTTCTGGAAATTTAATTGCATGTGACCAACGTGACGGTTTCTTTTGGTCTCCTTTAAGTTCTTTCCTGAGTTCATAATGGACCCAATTAGTGACTTCTTCCTGCAGTTTTTTATCACAATCCTTCCCAACCCAAATATAAACACCACGTCTCACTGTCTCTTCCAAAATGTATAACCTTTTGGTCTCTAAATATTCTCTCAAGAGTACCCTTTTCATAGCTGTTTTCACAAAATTTTCTTCCCTTGGATTATCTTTTGTTTGAGGTCGAACTTGTTTTTTTCCTAACAAGTAAAAGAGTCCATAACGAAATATGAATTTAATTTTACTACTTAATGTTACTACTTTCTTCTGTTCATCTTTTTCTTCAGACGGAGTGTAAGCGAACCTTGGTGGATACTCTGCAGGGTTTTCTCTGTGCAGAATAGAAGTTTTGGTAAGAGAGTGCATCACAACGTTTTCAGGACGTTCATCATTTGTTACGACTTCATCTTCGTCATCGTCTAAGGAAGTATTCTTAAGAAATTCTGAGGCTTGCTTGCAAGACTCTCTATTTCCATTATCAGGTAAAGTCATAAGATCAACCACGTCGACCTCTTTTATTTCACCGTCATGGTCATTTTCTCTAATAAATTTTGCTGCTGCAATTATTCTTTTGCGATCGCATTTTGTCGCTCCATTGCTAATGTACGCTCGTGTGTTATAACTTGTATCCAAAATAAAGCAGTCCTCCTGATTCATGAGCGAGAGATTAAAAGGAATGTTCTTCACTCGATGGTTTCCTCGTTCATTGCGTATTACTTTATAGAAACGTGACATTGCACTAATTGCAACATCAGGATATCTGCCATCCATATAACGGATCATGGGCTGCAAATCTTTGAAATAATTTTCAAAAATATCACACTCGTTGTCTTGAATTTCGAAATGAATTATGGCATCCCAATCAAAATGTAGTCTATCGAAATTGTTAATCCATTTTGGAGGAATTTCGGCATAATCCTTACCAAACCATACATGTAGCTCTATTTGAGGTGACGGAATCCTCTTATCTGTAGTTTTGATGACAAGGTAAAGTTCTCCGGAATAAAACGTACCATATTGTCCTCCAGGTATACGGATAGCTTCATATTCAATTTCGTAATTTTGTTCGGCTGCGATTTTCACTGCTGCAATGCCTTTACATGGGGGCTTTATCTCTCTGATCACGAATATTTCGAGGCCCGGTTCTTTTCCACTGTTACTCAATGCATCCACTGTTTTTAACATTGTCGCAATATTTGCACGGATTTGTACAGAAAAAACGCGTGTTTTCTATCGCGACGTTTGTTACGAACTAACATATTTCTCTACAGATGGAGCATGTGAATCAACGTGAATCGAGCATCCAATGTAAATTTAAGGAAAAACCAGTCGTCGGCTCGAGTGCTGATAAACTCGTATTATAGACTGCTACGACCGCAAATACTTATTTATTATGTAGTATTTTCAAGTTAATTTGATTACTTATACGGGCGAACTTCATGAATATAGTTAATTGAAGGTGTATAGGTTTGTTTATGTGAATTACATGTTAGTCAGTTTAAATTCTTACATTACCTACAAACAACTACGTTTAGCCTATTGCATTTCAGCTTTTCTGAGAACACAAACCTGTCTTTTAATTGTGAGAATTAATGATTCTTTGTCCAAGCATGGTACGTTTTGGAATTTGCATCTCTGTGGTTAACAAATTGTACATTAAAGTTGTACTTCATTGTTTTATTTACTCGTACAACAAGTATTGTATACAATCATTACATAATTAGGTTTTAAAATCTCGTACCTATTACTTAGGCTGATCGCCTTGTTACCAAGGCTCATAGCCTAAACACGGTACTCGACTTCATGAACCCTCAATAAGCAACGTGTGCATAAAATATTATTACACACATTTTCAAAGTCTGTTTGGTGTTCAATAGCAATTAAAGAAAATGTACAGTCAAGGCAAACGGTGCGGCGACCGCAGTCGTAGACAGGTTTATAAAAATATACATGGGATATCCTGAATGACAGCATCTTCGTATATACACTTTTATTTATATATATGTATATTTATAACCATTCACTTCACTACGAAGTTACATTATCATTTGTATGTATTACGTATTTACGTGGTTGTATTACTAGCTAGTTTGTGCATTTTGAAACGTTAGAGAGAGAGAGTGTGTTTTTTTTCCTCAATTGTGGTCAATTATTTTTATTTTCATCTCTAAGATAGATAGTTATACACTTTATTGCTCACACGCAAGAACAAAAAACAGTACATAAACAGCTTCAATTTAATGTGGGCAAAAGCAGCCTTATCGCTAAGAGCGATCTGTTCCAGACAACCTTTGAGATGTGTGCCAATAGAAAATTTTAATTGTATAGATAAACAGAAATTTATATTTTATTAAAAAATAAATAACTTAGTATATATAAATAAACCTGAACAAACTTTTTAAAAGACAATTGCAGAAGATATTTACGCAAGCTAGTTTTGAAAATAGGAAGCGACTTAAGAATGTCGGGTTTCAGACAGGCCATTCCAAAGTTGCGCAGCCTTAACGGCAAAGTAGTCTTTGTCAGTAGGTTATCCATTTCAAACCAAATTTCACAGTTGCGATCCTCTCCGAGAAAGCGAAAACGTTCCTTAAGGTAAAGCGGAGACGAGAGTCATATAGAAGTGTTATAAAAAAGCTGGGTACGTGCTCCTCACGGCACAACTTGATGATGTGGGCAACCACTGAAGCTTTCCCCTGTAGTCAGACACATGATCGAACTAGCGCAATTCGTATATGAACCTGATGCAAAGATTCTGTAGAAGATTCTGTTTGCTTAATAGATCCTCCTTGAGGTCAGTGACCCAGACATCACCATAATCTAGAATAGGTAAGAGAAGCAGATTTTTCTATCGTCACAATGAACCGGAGGCTGCAAACGCCTTCCTACTCACCTCATCTCTTAATAGCATCATCATCTCATCTCCTCATATATCATCTCATCGCTCGGAGTGGCACTGCAATGGACAGGCGTGTTACTTACTAGCACGACTTGTTCGTCCCGGTCCAGTCACTTGGTATCATAAAAAAGAAAAGGTTTCACACTTATAGCTCCCTCCGTTGCTAAACCCAAAAACGCTAAAGATAGTAAATGTTGGTACTTTTTAACCGACTTAAAAAAAGTGGAGGTTCCCAATTCGACTGTTTTTTTTTCTGCGTATGTTACGCGATAACTCCGGCTAATTTATGAACCGATTTTGATGAGACTTTTTTTTTGGAAAGAGGGTACTATTGGTCCTAAAATATTCTACTTCTAAGGGTGGCAAACTAGGGGATGCATCCGGTTTCGCGCACTTCTCAGCAACCGATTCCAAAAAACTTGGCAAATAGATGTAATTCCCCGAATCTTCGAGGTCGGTATTTTAAAAAAAAGTTATTATTAATATTTCAATAACACATATAGGTTTCACATATGTTTTTGTTTTGTTCGTATGTTGCGCGATAACTTTGTAAGCCGATTTTGATGATTCTTTTTTTGTTGGAAAGAGATACCTTCGGAGTGGTCCCATTTAAATTTGAAGAAAATTCTCCACCACTAAGGGTGGCAAACTAGGGGATGAATCCGTTTTCGCACACTTTCCGGTAACCGATTTGAACAAAACTTGACAAATAGAACTCCACGAACTTTTGAAGTAAGTTTTTTGTACTCTGTACTGGGATTATAGTTATGGTTTTACCGTACACTGCCACTCATCATCTTGTACAAGTCCATAGTACAAATTATATAATATGGAAATGGAAGCACAGATGCTTGTAACTTGCCACTGTAGTCATTTGGATGACCAAAAGAACTACATCGGCGTACCGACCATCTCAAAGACGAATGTGTATGGAAAAAGAGCTATGCAAGTTAAGGTTACGAATGACATATTTCAGTATCTCATCGAGCTGTCTCTGCCTGCCTATAAGGTGTGACATTGATGACTTTTTATTCATCCCCATGAGTGACTTTTATGGTCGGTTTTTTAGTACTCTGTACTGAGGTTATTGCTTTTCTTTGTCCTTTTTTGCTGCAAAATAATAACAACGTCTCTCATGCATTATAAATTTATTCATTATCACTATCACGTATTATTAAAACTTATATTAATGTTACATAAACATTTATTGGCGTCACTTGTATTGGGGATCAGTCTTCGCTAAGGCATGACTGAAGACGGCCCCAGAAAGAGGATCTAGCTAGGATGGTCCAAATAAAATTTCGAACGTCTAGTCTATGCTGTGCTTCAGAAGCAGGGCTACAAGTCTGTGCCATTGTCTAATAATTTGTGGCTTTATTATCTTTGGTATGTTACTTATGGCTGGACAGGAAATACAACTGGTTACATAAGATAGTGAACAAACGGTGTCCTTTTAAGCTGCGTTCTTCACTCTTTTAGATTATCCACCGAACATTTTCTTGACGTTGTCAGAAATGGCTTTTGCGTATCGGTAGCCGTTGAAAAGAAGTCTGTCCATCACCGGGGATTGTTTTAACGAGTCACCGTCCCTGAAAGAAACACATGTTAGCTGGAAAAAAATTGTTATTTGTGCAGCCAAACACCTTGCACCAGGGTATCTCTTCTCTTGAACTACGTAAAGAAAACGAATGTTTGAGGAGTAGGTCTGTCAGAATTTCCAATTTCTGCTTGAAAATACATAGAGTGATCTAAAAATGTTTATTGTGCTCATCAATATTTTGACTTCCTGAAATTGTTAATAGATTTAAGCGCTACTATTTTCACCCTCCCTATGCTTAAATTAATAAAATAAATTACACAAGCGCAACTACAGTCATAACTAATACTATTAAAAATATACACGACATGTGTTTCGCCTCCCCACGACGCATCCTCAGGAGAAATGTTGATTAAAAATAAGATCCCTCAGAACAGTTGGTCATATTTAAACCCCATTGCCCCCACTATTATCATCGTTATGATTTGAAAATACCCGCAATAAAGGTGGTAACGCAACATTCATGATGGGCAAATTTTTGGTGGTGGTGTTTGTGACTATAGTTGCACTTGCTTTAGTTATTTTATGTGAGGAGAGGGTGAGCAATATAATAACATCAATAAATATTTAACTAATCCACAGCTATTTTGCATTTCATCTTAATTTACCTACATCCATTTTTAGTTTCGAAAATTTGTGTAAGGCTTTTAATAAAATCCCTCCATGAAATCATTTCAGTAACCCATAAAGAAGTAAACTACTAAATACAAACTAAATGTAACTAATTACGGAAGTGGAAATATAGACGTTTGGAAATCATAATGCATGTATGTATACCTGTAAAATCATCAAAGTGGTAGTGAAATGTTTAGCAGAATTTTTCGTAAAAGACCGTTTCGCCTTTACCATAAAAACGTGCTCAAGAAAAGTTCCCTTGTACGGGACTTTAAACGATTTTATATTTGAATCTTGTATAATTGTAAAACGGAAGTTGCTTATAATGATCTGGCTTATAAAGTAGAAATATGGCTTGATAAACCATATTATCATATTAAACACTAACGTAGAAATATATCCATTCATTCATTAAAACATTTTCATGTAAACGACATACCACCTTAAGGGTTGCAAGATAAAGAAGATAGACCTTATCTGCCGCAAAGTTCGCCGCGTTCCTGTTTGGTGACATTACAGGCCAATGGGACTTATGTCTCAGGGTAACGGGCGCAGTGGCAGTCAGGTCTTCGCGACTTAAAGCTCTGAGTGGTACTGCCACTGTCATGAACAGGCAAGTCGCTTATCTGTCGCTAGGCGCACGACTTCTTTATCGTGTCACTTAGTGTCATAAAAAAACTCACTTGCAACGAATGTTCCAAGGCTTGTCGACGTAGTAGATGTGGAGTGAGAGGATTCCATATTCGGCCCAGTCGTATAGGCACTTTGGGGCGTCAGGAACAGTCAGCTGTGAAGTTACATTCAGATAAATATGTATTACAATAATCAAAATACCGTGACCAATGTATGACTTCTTTGGTATGAGCTATGAGCGTTAACGTACAGGCTCCGAAAAACATTCAGAAAAGTACTTTTTTTTTTCTGAAAAATATTTTTTCTGTATGGTCCTTTTCCATGGTGTGATACGCATGGAGCGTATGTTTGCTTCGTTGTCTTTTTTGTATATTGCATTGTAAACTAAAATAAGTTTTTGTTTTACTTTTGCTTGTTGTCTTTTTTTTATTTTTTTCTGTATATTTTAAAACGTTATTCATATCATTTAAACAAAAATCTTTGATTTACCGCTTTTGGAAGTTCGTAATTTTTTTTTGTCTTAAAAATCGAATCGAATTCGTTATAAGGAGCCTTCTTTTTATTAAAAAATAACTGCGCATTTGACTTCTATCTCACCTGATGGAAAGTGACGATGATGGAGCATGCACACCCAAATAACTCCTATACATTTTCGCCTTGAATAGGTCCAAGTTATACTGTTCAGGGAACAAGTCTGCGGGCAGGGAGTCCCACACCATAGCCGTTAAAATAAGATGCTGTAGAAGTGCTGCAGTGGCGCAACTGTGGCGCGGCAGCCGCGCGTCTAAAGCGCTTAAGTAATTTGTTTACTTAATTGTGGCTGCAAAAGTGGCGAGCGCGTGTCACGGCAGTGGCGCTGCGTGCAACTGCATTTCTAAATATTGTATGATAATTTATAGCGCCGCGGCTGCAGCGATTCTATAAGCATTTAATTTAAAAGCCCCCTTAATTCAAATATAACCTCGTAATTATTATACTTAAAAGATACTTAACTTTATACTATTAATGCATATTTTTTATTCTAGAATTAATTTAACAACTCTTCAACACTGACCTTTGAAAGAAAAGCATGTTCAGGATACCTTGATCTGCCTTTTTTCATACGTGTGAGCGACTGTTCCACGGTCGGATATTCTATCTCTTCACTCTGGAGCAAACCAGAGGAAGCGTCACAGTTTTGGTTAGTAAAGCAACATTGTATACGTTCGTTAGACAGCCCTCGTTTTCTATTGTGAGTTAATACCATTGACGCTTAAAGTTTAGAATTTTCCAGTAGCCAAGAAGTTTGTTGTTAACGCTCGTCGAAGACACTGAGGAAACTGCACGGTTTCCATACTAACTCAACAGCTGCGTGCGGTTACGGTACAATCGATAAATCGAATTGGCTGTTGTGTATCCCGCGTACGTGTGCAAACATATTTTCTTTTGTTTAGAGCTTTGCGTGATGTTTTTGGAGTAATTGTTCAAATTTCGTTTCGTTCCTGTTGCTTTTATTATTTAAGGATATTTAGATCTTTTTTTTCCATTCGATTTTACATCACTACATCTGGTACCGATATGCTGTGTGAAATGGACTACAGTGCAGTTAGCTTGCAATTGCGATGTAGGTACGCCGAATGCAATATGGCAGTCGGTAGTTGTGTTGCAATGCCGATGAATGAAGTATGCAATCGCTCTCAGTATATCCAAGCTGTTTTCACTGCATTCCAACTGCCATTAAGCAGTTTATCGTAGCCGTAATAAACCTCGTGTGAATACGCATTTAAGCTGCTAAAGACAACCCATAGGCATGAAGTTTGCGGTATCTAGCTAACGAACGTATACTGCTTAACACACAACACTCATTAGTATATTGACTCACGAATCTCATATTGATAGCAGCTGGAGGGCCAATCAGCAGGCAGTTGTCGTTGCTCAAAGACGACAAAAGATTGATTTGATCAAAAGAATCGAGAAATTATGCAAATTTTGTCCACACATATGTATGATGAACTATAGGCATATAAAATGTGAAACAATAAAGCGTGAAACACGGAGAGAGCGGGTGCGGGTCGGGACCGGGCGCCCGCACTCATCTCGCTCCCGCGCTCGGTTGTTGTCGTCCATATAAATACACGGAATTTGTCCCGCCGCACAGTGGGCCCAAATTGATAATTCTTGGACATAGGAATAACTTGGGAGTATCGAGCAAATTTTTTTTATATGATAGATAATAACATTCTTAACAATTTTTATTCTTGTATAATTTCTTGAACAGTTGATAGTTTCGTGAAAAAAAAAAACTTTTTTTAGTATGGACAAATGCACATTTTTAAATAAAAAATTTACCTAAAAATTAGCTCGATACACCACAAGTTATTCCTATGCCCAAGACTTATCAATTTGGGCCCACTGTGCGCCGCTCTGTCCCAACCCGACATGCGTCCGATCTGCACCTGTTCTCAGTGTGTTTCACGCTTAAGAAAATCCAGAAACGCCTCTGAACAGGAGTCATTACCGAGTATACAAGAAGGATGTCGAATTTTAGAAACAGTATACATGTAGTTATTTTAGGTGTTGTACTAAGTACAAATAAAGGGAATGTTGACTGAATTAAACAAACATAATTTTGCTTTGTAACTTCAGTATACCTAATATTGGTTTATGGAATCTCTATTGCAATAAAACATAGCTACTAAATTCTTTTCAAAACAAATGTCTGAAATAAACTTGCTAATTTCGAGATGCTTTCGACCTAGTTTTACAACGAAAAGTACCTTAACGCTTTCCTTGGTGAAGGGTCCATTCTCGAACCATTTCCTGAAGTCGGACTGTTTAACGAGACGGCCAAACATGAAAAAACCAGTCCCAATGAGCTCTCCCTCGCTAACCAAAGCGAACCAGGGCCATATGTCTTCGCATTTAGTGTCTTTCGTCAAATTGTAGTAATAGTGAGTACCTAGAAATAGGACAGGAGAATACAATAGCCGTAGAGCTCCTTGTGAAAGAGTTCATCCAGGGAAGTACTGCCACCTTACGGCTTCGGTTTTTAAGATAAGGGCGCTGGTGAAATTATAGGCACACAAGAGTTTTCGTCTTGTCTCAGGGTGACGGGCGCAGTGGCAGTGAGCCTCAGATCTTTGCGATTTAAAGCTCTGAGCGGCACTGCAACTGCTATGGACAGGCGTGTCGCTTACCTACCACTACGCGCACAACTTGTTCGTCCCATCACTAGGTACCATAAAAAAAGAAGCCGTAAAATGGATTTGCTCTGGGCCTTTTGGAGGGAAAAGTGTCGTTTTTATTTTGACTTTAAATTATTTTGTGAAATCTAGGTTAAAGTGGATTAGGATAGTGCTATTATGCCTTAATCGAAGATTAAAACGCAAAATTACACGAATCTCGAACTAAAATACCCGTATCGGCCCGTTCTAAGGAATCCCGAGTCAATCCAAACACGCCGCCTCAAATTGCCTATCCTCTTTGTGGCGGCCATATTTACAGAAACATAATTAAATGAAGACATGGCTCAAAAGACTTGTATCCAAGCCAAAATTATTAAAAAAAGAAGAAGATGTAAAATCTGCTATCTTATTAATTTCTGATGTAGAAGCACCAGCACTGTGGCATAGAGCCAGGGCAAAAGTCTTAATTAAAATATGAATCACAGAATACTTTCATATAAGTATTTAAAATACGAAATACAAAAGGTGAAAATACACTCATTAGCATTACGCGGACGCCAGGAAAGTGTTTGAATTACAAATTACAAAATACATTTCTAGGTAGTAATTCAAATACAAATACAAAATACTTATTTGTATTTCAAATATGTACCTATTCCAATCACAAATAATTCAAATGCTGCCCAGCCCTGCGTGAAGCTAAGTGTCAAAAAAGGTTACTGTGATGGAGTTTTACATATGCATTTTATAATAACATTTTCATTTGAAAAGGTTATTAGGCCATATTTTGAATTTAGACGCCTTTACAAACATTTTTTTTGAGAATGCTAAAACTCACGCAATGGTACATTAAGTAAGTCTCGTCCTTTATTTTATATTTAATACGACCTTGCGGTCAATTGATTTTTAAATTAGAAACCTTTTCTTTTTTTATTATATCAAGTGACGGGATGAACAAGTCGCGTGTCTGGTCTACCGTGTCAGATCAAAACACTGTAATATCAAAAACAGCATTTTGAGAAAAAGCTGCGTAAAGAATTCTTCGGCTTTTGTAGTTTTTGAGGTTAATAACATAAAAAGATTATTTACGTTATTCATTAGATATTAAAGAAATCTATCTAGCCATTATAATTTTACTTTGGAAAGCAAGTTTATTAGTCTTTCAAGGATTTCCTTGAAAAACTAATAAATTTCTTTTCCCTCGTTAACGCCGAAAGATTGTTGTTGTTATGAAATTACAAAGCGCTGTATTGAACGTTGCAGTGTTTTGATTTGACATGATAGAATTTAGTTTTATATTGTTAAAATTTGAGCCGCGACAAATGTTAGTAGACCCCCGCTCCCGAGAGATTTGCGCGATCTGAGAGTTGTCGTTAACTCGGGCATCTGCACCACTGTACTGCATTTCGCGCCTGTAATTGTCAAACCAAAAGACTTCACTTCACTTTTTATTTTTATGGCTCCATCATTATGAGAAATGATGATTTTGCCAATGTCACGGTTGAAAGAAAAAAAACAAAACAAAAAAAAAATACGCTGAGCTCTAATAGGACATTAACCGGTGTTGATGAGTTGGTATACGGGGATACTAAAGACTGTACTGCTGCGTACCAACCGTGTTATGTCAAAATAATTTCTAAATTTTAAAACTTACAGTGTATTTTAGTTTTTAATATCTCATTAAATAAAAAATAATACCTCTATTAAGGTTGAAATGTCAGGGTATAGATTAGGCCTAGAGAAATCATATGGGCGCTGTCAAATCAAAACACTAAGTGACTTTACAGTGTATTGGTTTGACACGGCAGTGGTGGTAAGCGACACCCGCCCGCCACTCAAGACTTTTAAATTGTAAAGATCTGAGGGGCACTGCGCCTGTCACCCTGAGACATAAGTTGACAAGTCCCATGTGCCTGCAATTTCACCAGAACCCTTCAAGTTCCTCCTTGAAATCTTTAAAACGTTCTGTAGTAAAAAATATTATTTGGCACTTAAGGTTATTTACCTCTCATCTACAGAATTAAGGATAGGCTTGTAAACGGGACTCTAAAGAGTTGTTAGAGGTTAGTGGCATCGATGCAAACGCCTATAAATCCCAAAATGTAGCGATGCAATCGCTGCTAAAAGTCGCCTTATGTACCCGCTTTAAATGATAATCGACCTTGCTGACTTTAATGAATTTTTGTCCAGGATAGAGGAAAAAAATACTTACCCATGTTAGGTATACAGTTCTGTTTCTTGAATATTGTATTGTTAAGCTCGGCCTCGGTGGTTGGTATCCTCATTAATTTGACGTCAGGTCCATACACCCATACACCTCCTTCCTGTAGCGTTGCGCCATTTTCTATTTGTGGTCCTGATCCAGCTTTTAATGATTCTGGAACGATTCTTGATTAAATTGATGATTTGATTTTAATCTACATGAAATTCCATTGCATGTATTTGACTATAATACATTTAGAGTGTTCTTTGACAACAGTACAAATTTTACGAGTCAATAAACATTTTCAATTTATGATAAAAAGAAATCGCACTTTTGGTGTAATAACACTAGGTACTTTTACGACAAAAATTGGTCGATAACTTTTTTATGCTTAAATAGGAGAATTTAAGAAAATTATAAAATTTCACATTATACCTACATGTAAACATCAAAGAGTGATGAGGGCACTTACTCATTATAAAAGTAATAAAATAAATGTGATCATATTAAATAAATGATTACAAATGCTTATAGAAGGATATCGAATTATTTTAAATTAATTACTTATTTTTATATTGCAAAATTCTTTAATATTATAATAACTTTTATTCATTGCACGACAGAATCGTTTGAAGCTGCGATTATGTGTCGTCACATTTTTATCGTGACGTTTTATTATCGTCAGACGACTGTTGTTCTAGCTCTTCCCATTCTCACGACAATCTGTCGTCGTAAAGTAAAATAAATGAACGAATCGTATCTTTATTCCTAATAATAAACCTTCTATTTTTATGGTCGATATGTTCGCTGTACCACATTGTCTTACGACTATTATTGAAATTATTTCCTTCTACGACATAATATGTCGTGAGATATTATCTCTTCTTGATTGATCGAAAAATAGGTGTGGATAAGCAACAAGAGGACATCGACACTATGGGTCGTATTCTAGAACTCTACTCAATGCTTAAGTCAGGATTTGAGCAGACTTGAGTGTGATTTCAAGCACTGAAAATACGACCCTAAGGCAAAAACTTGAGTATAATTTTCAGTGCTCACTGCAATACTCAAGTGCTGACTTGAGTATTGAGTAGAGTTCTGGAATACGACTCTTGGACTATTCGGATGTGCATCCGAATAGTTCGCCGTTCGTCTGTAGCGCAACACTCGTATACCGCCGCCCGCGCCTCTGCTGTCGAGAACAGCAAACGCAAACTTAGGCCCAGTTTACATTGCGACAGAACGGAATACAATGGAAGCGTCAATTTTGATTCGCTGCATGAGATGGCGCAGGCGGTCTCTGGAATATTCAAGCATTCCTGCGCCCGCGCCTAGAGGGTATAGTATTTCGTCGTTTGACGTCACTCTGTGTATCTAGTTTGTACGTTACAGTTTATTACGCTACATACAATATCGTAACAAAAATTCGCTTCCTTTGACTCGGCTGCGCGTGCTTATATAGTCACAATATCGACATTTATTGAATATCGTTGTATTAAATTATTATTTTTTGTTGAATATATTATGATATTTTTACTAACATAATATTCATCTATTTTTATGATTTTTTTAGGTGATAGGTTAGGCTTAGGTGATATAACCACCTTACCATCGAAAAGATTTTAGATATTTGTTGATTATAAATTACTTAGAATTAAAAATGTACGCAATTTTACTTACCTTCAGTAACATAATATTGAGGAAGATGCCAGAAATCCTTTGTAGGTTCACCAAAATTAGCTAACGCACGCCAACTCATCATTTTTGCCTGTGGCTTCTGAACCTGGGACTCGAAATCATCCTTTGGGAACTGAAATATAAGATTTTTTCGTAAATTTATTCATTGTTAGAGTTAAGATATTGCCGTCGGTTTTTCTATTGAGGTAACAAAACCGCAGTATATTTAGGAGTGACTTGATGGAAAGTACTCAAGGAAATTAATATATTGGTATGACCGCAAGTATATGATGGAGAGGTACCTACTTTGATTTGGTATTTTTACGGTAGGTATATTTAAAGTAATTTTTAAAAATTTTAATTTTAGTATCGAGTTCTTAGGTTTTTTGCGGTCGTCAAATTAAATCGTGTATCGTCGTCTTGTGTTGTGTTGTGTCGAGTGAAAACCTCTTACACCTACGCGTTTTCACATAGTTCGTTTTTACTGATTTTTGTTGGAGAAACACGTATAAACTTCTTGTTCAAATGTATTATTAAGATAATATATTATTAAGATAATATAGTATCTGAAAGAAGTATAATTTAACTAATTAAAATTCTAACTACGAACATTATGCGTTTACTACATTGTACACCACATTTTTATCTTCGTTCTGGAAACAAATACGTAAATAAACATTTTATTTTATATATTATCAAGTGAGGGGACGAACAAGCGTGCTCCTGATGGTAAGCTACACGTCTGTCCATATCAGTTGCAGTGCCAAGGTAATAGGTATAAGTTGACAAGGCCCATGTGCCTGTAATTTCTATGTAGCTGAATTGTGACATGTAGGTACTTTGCAGCAACACGTTGGTAGTGTACAAAATAAAGTTTTAATCACAAGTCAAAACGTTTTTTGAATACTTAATAAAGAGTAGGACCTTACGACACTGCCTTGAGGTAAACAGTACACGTCTAACAAGCCTTGTAGAAAGGTATGTCTGCTTTAGGAGTGATTGTAAATGTATGTAGTCGTGACCCTAGAGACTACATTGTTGAGAAAATTATTCACGGCCTTGTTATTCGTGAGTTTTAAAGTAATTGAAAATCTACTTGTTAGAGTAGAATAATATTTTACAAGCTATAACAAGTATAATTTATAATGTTTAATATATTAAGACAAGAAGACGTAAATCTTTCTTTTCTGAGTTTACTGCGATATATTCTTTATTAACCAACTTCATTCAAAGGAGGTTTTCACTCAATTCGACTGTATTTCTTTTTCTTTTTTATGTATGTTCCGCGATAACTCTTTCATTTCTAAATCGATTTTGATGATTCGTATTTTGTTGCAAAGAGGATACCTTGTATTGGTCTCATTTAAATTTGAAGAAAATATTCCACCTCTAAGGGTGGCAAACTAAATGAATCCGGTTTCGCGCACTTTCCGGTAATCGATTTCAAAAAACTTGGCAAATAGATGTAATTCATATATGTATTATTATTCATAATTTGTGCGGGAGTTGGGCCGCCGGCTCCGAGAAAGGGGCTATGATCCACGCTCTGGATCTTACCTGGTGCAGCAGATTTCACTGGCCATCCAGCGCGGTAATGCGGCTAGTGTGATGGGGACGTTTGAGCCGGGTACGGTTCAGAGCGGTCCCTTTTAATTTTCGTTCCTATTTGGTTTTCATTACTTATATTATTAGTGTTTTTGATTGAATTTTTTTTTGTGTTTTATTTTAGATGTAATGTGACAATGATAATTAGAAATTTTATAAATTAAATTGTACAGTAAGTTATTCAATAAATAAAATTTGGTTCATATTATTTGTTATATGTAATACAAGTTTTAAAAATCATCTCGCCTCGCCGGTGGCAAACAGGTGCTGGTTCGAATTCAGCCGGATCGTGAAATTTTTCTTTGTGTTTGTTTGATTTTTGTATCAATAATAATACTAATAATTGTAAGTCAATGAAGCTAGTTTTAGTTTATTTAGTGTATTTTCACAAAAAAATCCTGGTAATAAAAAGATGGTACTTCTGCAATAAAATTAACATTAAAATAAAATATTTTTTAGTGTTCTTTTTTGCAATCTCTGTTTTAGTTACTATAATAAAATATTATGGTTACTTAACACATCAAATAAAGAAATATCGTTTTATTATTGTAATAAACGTCAAACGTCGTTTATTGTCGGCAGCACAGACCACATGGCAGTTTATGTGCAAAGCATTGCAATTAATACGATTCCTATCCTATATGAAATTGGGTGACGTCATAAACGCATTTATTATCTCTACGACTTTTTGCACAAGAACTGAAAAGAGTATTATATTAACATACTTTGAGTTGATGTAGTAGCAACGGAGTTCCTTGTGAAAGAGTTCGTCCAGGGAAGTACTGCCATCTTACCTATTTCTGCCGCCAAGCAGTAGGTAATGTGAGCATTACTGCATTCCGGTTTTGAAGGCTAAGGGTGCTGGTGAAATTACAGATGTATGGGACTTTCAAGTTATGTCGCAAACGGAACGAGCAAGTCATGCGCCTGATGGTAAGCTACACGCCTGTCTTGCAGTGCCACTCTTAGCTTTAAATCACAAAGATCTGAGGGGCACTGCCACTGCGCTTGTCACGCTGAGACATAAGTTGACAAGTCTAATGTGCCTGTAATTTCACCATCACCCCTTCAAAAGTAGAACGCATTAATCCTCGCATTACCGCTTGGCGGCAGAAATAGGTAAGGTGGCAGTACATGACTGGACAAACTCTTTCAGAGCTCTACGGCTACCGAAAAAATCTACCTCTACCTACCTGCTTGTGCCGAAAATTATCTACCTGTGGTAGGATGGCCCGCTCCGCCACTTCTCTTTAGTAATGGAAATAATAAACATTCACAACTAGCAAAACCACTAACTAACAGACTCTAACAAATCAACATTATTGAATATAAAACTCTACATAGGCTGAATAAGTTTATTCCGTTTGCTTTCTCTATAGTTTTGTATCTATGGTAACACAATGTTCTATTATGGCGACTTGTACTGCGGAGTGAATTTATGTTCTCGCTCGAATTAAATAAGTCATATAGAAAATCTCAATTTTCATTTCAAAGAATACCAAACTTGAACAAATATTACACTTACCTACTAGCTAAAATTATGACAATAAAAAATAATAAAACCGCAAATCGAAAAAAACATGTGTGAGTTAGTATTGTAGATATATGTCGTAACCTCCAATGAACACTACGTCAACTTTATTTTTTGGTCAGATTCTGTTATTGTAAACAGCCATATTTATTTACTAACATTATGCATCCCGAATTTTGTGGAAAAAAATAAAGAAACAAAAAACAAAATTGAAAAAAAAGCTACTTTTGTGAAAAATTTTTGTATCGATGTGTATATTAAGGGTGGAGAACATTCTCCGCTTCATCCAAATTTAATTGATACCAACCAATTAGTCAAAACATTTTTTAAAGCTGTACATACAACTGTAACAACAAGCAATTTTTTGTTAATTATATTGTATAATTAACAAAATACGATTAATACTTAAAAATATGTATATAATTCGCCGTAACACTATGGCTGTTTTGGTTTATACATCTTAGCATGAAAACTATAGGTTGAGAGAGAAAACAGTGATTATAAATAATTCATATACGACAACTCTACTACCATGATGCATAAAACAGCCTGTGTTTTTCCGCTTAAGATTATTAGAACATATTAGATGAAGAGTCCAGAAATTACTGGGACCCTCTGCAGGCGCGTTCATTGATTTAAATTAGATAAACGCTTTTCGAGAATGGGTGACGACAGGACACAATTGACATACGCAGATTGCAACTGAACCACAGCTACTCTGTGAAGATCCTCATTTTCGTGCTATTGGTATGATAAAGCCATGTGACGTCATACGTCAAAGGTGCTTTTATCACATTAAAGTCGTAAAATTAATACAAACTACATGTGATTAATTAATTATGTATACGCACGTCACGCAGGCGGGGTGATAAAATGCAAGGCTCGGACCACATTAATTATTACAATAAAAAATTAAAAGAACGGGTAAAGTAAAGACGTAAAGGCTGTAACAAAACGACGATATAAGAACAGGTACAATGGTATAAAACACTCCCTACTTAAATTATATACAGGTTATGGTAAAAAGGAACTTATCCCAAAAGGGCCTGTAATTTCTAGAAATACTATGCTTTATAAGCAGTTAGGTTACATGATTTAATTGATCCGAAGTTCATGTTAAGTGGAGCACGTGTGCTCGCTTCGGAAATTTAATCTAGAGAGTAGTAGTTCTACAGAGTGGCGATGGGAAGAAGAAAAGTAAGTGACGAAGAAGAAAAGAAATTTAAGAATGATTCAAAATTTCAAAGTAGATGGCAAGAAACCAAAGAAATGGGGTGTAAAAAGGTGGGATGACGATGAAAGAGGTCACATCGTCAGAAGTATTTTATAACCCGTTTATTTAAGAGTCAAACAGAAACATACTCAAATGGCTTTCGTTGATTCCGCATAACAGTGAAAATGTTGTATAATCAAGTACTTTGGAAAAGATATAGTAAAATTGAGGACATACACTGTTTAGTATACGGTGTGAAAACACTATTCCTAACAATCTTCACGATACAAAAAAAAACACAAACACTTCGAAATTTTACAAGAAAACTGCTGTATTCAATAGTACGCCGATAACACACTGCACCGCGCCCCGCGACGGTGCGCGAGACGCGGAATCGCGCGATGTGGCAGAGACGCAGATCTGTGTCAACGTGCGGTTTAATCTGCGCGGGGACAGCGGTCTAGAGCCCCCCCGCCACTTAAAATAGTCGATCGCAGTAGTGATTGTACATGTAGCTGAGATCCTTCTTTGACAATAATGGTTAATAATACAGAACTCATTCAGGACGCTGCAGTTATACTGTCCATTTGGTATTTGTTTACTCAAATAAAAAGACTCCGAAGATAACATTCAATTTCATTACAAAGATTTAAGAAAATATAAAGATTAATTTTTCAACTGCACACGAATGTCAACTGGATCTCTTGTTATTATTTGTTAGGGAAAATCCAAACGACAATTACTGGAATAGACACAAATTGATTAAAAGTCTGCGCGGTAGAGCGGAGCGCAATGTGCGATACCCCTCGCCGCGGGGGCGCATTAAACCGCGTGAGCCGCGCTTCCGCCCGAAAAAGCGTTGTCAGTGTGTTCGACGGCGCAACTTTTCCATACAAAATGAGGTACTTCAGTACAACGTTAAAAAACGCCGCTCCGCGGTTAGTCGCGGGGCGCGGTGCAGTGTGTTAATCGCCGTACTTTATATATACCAATGGTTTTTTTTTATATCACCTGAACTAAATAGAACACCCGATCGACCCGCGCAATATGCGATTCAATGCAGGAAAAATGTGAATTCGAGATGAGGTAGTATCCAGGCTTAAGCATAAAAAAGTTATTGGTTAATTTCATTCGTAGAATCTTTAAACCTGGCTCCTGACCAGTTGTCATTTTACAGTTGTGGTCTTTTTAATCAATAATGTGTTCATAATATAAACCTTAGAACTAAGTCCAAACTTATGGTACGGTTTCGTTTATCTAAGGTAAACGATTCTTTTGTAGGGAACTGTATAAGTTTTTACAATAAGATTCCGGAGCATATATTAAGATTACCATTTCCTACGTTTAAAACTTTCATCAAATGTATTTTAATTGAAGTCATATTACAAAATTGAAGGCTACGTGTTTTAGATAAAGATGTATGGAAAGACGACATGAGTCTTGATTCCACAAATATGATTCAAAGTGTATTCCACAGCACGTAAGTTTATTTGAAAAGAGCAGTCCCTAGAATTTCTTGCTCGTTCTTCAAAGGGAAATCAGCACAGTGAACGAGCAGTAGCTAAAAAAATGACGTTTTTAAGTGTAAAATTATTTACATTAAATTAAAAAGATAATAAGATGCGGTCATATTAGACAAAATTTGCTTTTTTTTTGTTTTCTTGGTTGGGCAACAGGAGTTTTGCCTTTGTTCCCTAAGTAATAACCGAAATAATAACCTAGCCTTGATATTGAGTTGAATAATAAGGAAATATCGTTACCAACTTCCAGGAAAACATAAAAATATAGGTATTTTTAGTATAAAGTGATGCAATTTAAATTATGTGTTAATAGTTAATTTAAAAGTGCGTTTATTAATAATAATTCGTGGTTGAGAATTGTGTTAAACAATACTTCATAATTTTGTTGACGAGCATTTTGTGCTTGCAAAACATAAAAATATATTGAAATGTTGTGTTACGTACCTACTCACTTCGCTGGTAATGTATATTATTACGTTTATAAATACGCTAGATAAAGAAGGGAACGAATTACTAACGAAATTCCTTGTGTGTTGCTGCGTTACTAACTTATAGGTATAAGGATATTTATTTATGAATCTGGTGGTCTACCCTCCGACATCCGTCCGAACCAATTACTGCCAAATAAGCAATACTTGACCAAATAAAAAGACGCGTGATGCCATTGACTTACAATTATATGGACGTCGGGTCCGCGCTAAAAAGCGTCCGCACTTGTAAGACGCTAAAATCGTATACAGAGCGCCAAACTCCGCTTTAGTCTTCATTTGTTCGACTGACAGCGCGATACTGCGATGACATTACAAATTAAATTTTGAATAGGTTGACTTGGGACATTTTTTTCGTGGTTTTTGTATTAGACCCGTCGTCCATTTATTTGTAAGTCAATGCGTGATGCGAATGAAGCTTCATACTCACTTGTCTTTTAATTTTGTCGAATATTACTTATTTGACAGTAATTGTTTCGGACGGTTGTCGGACGGAGATCGAGGGTAGATCCCCAGGTAATGGACGAACAAGACGCGCTTCTAGTGGTAAGCGACACGCTACCCATGTTGCAATGCCATTCAGTGCTTTAAATCGCAATATCTGAGGCACTGCTACTGCTCCCGTCACCCTGAGACATAAGTTTCCTTTATGCCACTTGAAAAGTCTCATGTGCCTGCTTAGGTTTAGGTTTATTTATAATAACGCACACACTCAACATAGCACCGCACTAAGGAAACCATGCGTTGCGGGTGCCATGGACACACATATACACAACCACAAATTACACCCAAACTCAAATAGGCGCTTTGTCGTCGAGTTGCGGATACCAGCCCGTTGCACCAAGTACCAAGTACCAAGTACACCCAAACTCACGAGAGAAATAAGTGTAGGCCATATAAGTATTTCTCCCGGCCCTGGAATCAAACCTGGGACCTCTGCGTGGTAATCCGGCATGGTAACCGTTCGGCCACGGAGGCAGTTAGTGTAGTTTCAATAGAAACATTATCCATCGAATTCTTAGGTTTACGCTATTGTTACACATATTATAGATAATGAATTGACTACCGTCAGCCGTGACCATGCTACCTGTAAATGGCCCGAAATGGTTTGCCTGGAAAAACAGAAAAAAAGTTTCATTTCCTATGACAAACATTACCCTTCAAAACCGAACTAGTAATGTTCGCATTATGGCTTTAAAATGAAATGAACGGTTTATTTGCATTGAATAGTGGTAATGGTAATGGTAGTTATTACATCTGAGTTCATCTATTCAGGCTTTCAGGCATCTATGGTTTTGTGTCAGAGATAGGTATCGCCGCAGCCGCATTTCACAAGGATCTCTTCAGCTACAATTTTTTAATACTCAAAATTCCCTATTTGGTTTTTCTTTGACATAGGATCAAAATTGCCATATCGATAGCAAAATTTTATTCCTTAAAGAGGATTATATTCAAACTTGTGTGTAACTATTCTTGCAATGCATACGCTACTAACACAACGAAACCGCACTATGGGGTTTTACAACAAAAGCTGAAATACAAAACTAATATAACGTTTTCAGACAGATACTAGGAACTGCTCTCGGTTCAATCGAGTCGAAGTTCGGCCGATAGTATCTATGGTCACCGATCATCAAGTTATTTGGGGTCCTGTGACGCTAGTACATTTGTATGTATTAGGGCCACCTCTCCTCCTACCTTTTGTTAATTGACAGTAAAACTTAGTTCTTGAAAATTCCGTTACACCGCACAGGCCTAACTTTAGCTTTTAAAGTGATTCTTACACCAATTTGAAGTCCAGCGATGAATCCTCCGACATCATACATGGGACATACGTTTCTTCCTGGTGTGCAGTACATCCTTAGCTCTGCCATCAACCCCTCTCTATTAGTTCGTCGCCAGCCCTCCGCTTCTGCTTCCATGAGTGTGCGAGGGATTTTAAAGAAATAATCTACATTTTCTAGTGCGCTTGACCACCCAAACTTCACTGGAATTATAATTTTTGTTAACCTTAGTAGATTTTAAGATAGTTACAACTTAGTCATAAAAGTAGTATAGCTGGATAGAGGCTCCAACCACTCACAAAATCGTAAAAAAATCAAAGTAATTACATAAAATTAAAACTCCTCTTATCAACGGCGTAGATACTTCTACCCACAAACAAATATGTGTAACATATTACACTAGATTTCAAAATTCGTAAAAGGGTGTAGTTTCTTCTCTATGTTGCGTGTGATTTTTGATGCCGCTTGAAGTGCATACAGTCAAGAGAACATTAAGCCTGATATTTTGGACTTTGGACAGTTTTTATCGCAAATGGCATAGAGTTTAAACCTTACAGCGTGAAAGACGTGTATTGATATGGACGACAACACACCAAGAGCAGACGAGTGACCTGACCTGTGCCCGTCCCGTTAAGCTCCACGGTGTTCCTGATCAGACACGCGCCCGATCCGCACCCGTTGTCAGTGCGTTTCACGCATAATTGTGAAGCTTGATGTGCTCTTGACCTTTTACTTTGTGTCTCAAACTACCCACTTTAAATGGCTTTATATATCCATTCGAATTAAATGATAAAGAATTCTTACCGCGTAGTCCGTCCCGTCTAAAACCTGAAATGAAATAAACAGCGATTTAATTAATAAACCAATCGTTAATAACGGATTTTATAATTTTAATTTCATAGGACAATTTAAATTGTGTTAGAGACAGCGTGCAAATAGAACGTTTCTACTCGTTTAAAACACACATACATTCATACACATAGCAGGTCCTACCGTCTATGAACTTCGATGATACCTATAGCTCATCCGCTGCCTCCACTCATAACAGTAATTTTGAATAGATAATTGGTACTTTCGACTTGCTTATTTTAAATGTAATTCCTATTGTGGTAGAGATATATGTACGCCGAAATCGACATTTTCCCTTGCCTCAACGTTCGCTTTATAAATTTGAATGATTATTACGTTTTATCGTTATTAAGCGTTATTACGTATGAGCAGTAGAATTTTCTGTTCCCCTTTTATATAGTCTTAAAAATATTGCTCCCCATTCTGTTTTTTATACCGATAAAAAAGTGAGCATTCGACCTCCATATCACGTGATGGTGAGATTGACGATGAAGCCTTGAAAAGGCCCAAGTTTTTACTTGGCAAAGAACTAATCAGGAAATTCCATTTCAAATGCCGTACGCTATATAAATGTGGAAGAGTAACGCTTTATGCGAATCTTGGGTACATCCACAATATAAGGGTGGAACGCCAGTTTGTCTCTAAGGCCGAGATTTATAAAACAACTTTAACTTTAATTATGCGAAAATAGCGAGCTTAGCAAGTTTTCCGTATTTCCAAAATTATACTTCGAGTTCGGTTTATAAATCTCAGCCTTAGACTTACATTACACATACCGCGCAATACTTTTATTCTACGGCATTTACTCTACTTTCGTGCTTTTTCTGGTTACGCAACACGTATATTATGCTATCATGCATTAAAGTTGGTATTAATTGTAAACAGTGGTTTAAACGTTAACACTGAACATAAATAGACTCTCATTTTGGCTGTCAGGCGCATTAGTACCTTTGCCTTTTCCAATGGAAAAAACAGTAGCAAAAAAAATAATATGCATTTTTTTTGTTTACGCGCCAAGTTGTAGAGAAATCAAAAACTAAGACATGGAAGTATGACGTACATGCTTTAGCCTGTTCCGAAGGACTAAATTACTATTTGCCTACGCGCCAAACAACAATGATCATTTAAAATAAATATCTAAAGGTTCGATATAACTAAGGGTCGTATTCCACAACTCTGCTCAATGCTCAACTCAGGACTTGAGTACGATTTCAAGCAGAGTTTTTATTCCAGAACGTTACTCAAGCGTAGAATCTGTAATCGGAGTTCACCTGAGTAATGTCAGAGGAAGCGAGAGCTTGCGGTTTATTTTTAAACAATGCTTGAGATTCGTTTCAACTTTGTTGATTCCTATACCGTACTCAACTCTAAAATTTTGTCTGGATTCGGTCTGGACCTTTTGGAGAGAAAAGTGTCGTTTTTATTTTGACTTTCAATTATTTTGTGAAATCTAGTTTAAAGTAGAATAGGATCGAACTAAAAAACCGTATCGGTCCGTTTTTGGGGAATCCCGAGTCAATCCAAGCACGCGACCTCAAATTGCCTATCCTCTTTGTGGCGACCATATTTACAGAAACATAAATAAATGAAGACATGCCTCAAAGGACTTGATCCAAGCCAAAATTATTAATAAAAAAAAAATAATTTTATCTTGAGTGTTGTCAAAATCTATATTTACTTGAGTGAGGTCCTGGTTGCGCTTGAGTAATAATCGGCGAAAAAATTACAATATTACGATAAAACCGTTTGAGAAGTTTGGTCTTTATCAAAATATATCAATAATGAGTATCATACTCAATTGCTTCGGATATTGAAAGACCTACAAGACCCGTACGATATGAAGGAACACAGATTTAAGCAGCGATATAGGTTCAACCAAGATTTGCTAAAAAAAAATAATTTTACCTATCATAGCAGATGAGCGAAATCAGACAATCGTGGGTACCCAATCGCATCTGAAATACAAATTCTGGTTTGCTTACGTTTGTATGTACGGGATCATTACAGTGCTTTTATGGGGAACTGTAGGATTACAATATGATTACGGAGTATATGATAATATTATCATTTCCTAAGTTTAAAACTTACATTCAAAGTAGGTATGTTAATCGAAAAGTTATAAGGTAGTGGAACCATTCATGGACGGTTTAAGGATTTATTTTTTGTTTTATTATTTTGATTTTGGACAAATACGAATGAATGAACGAAAATCGCATGGAACCATGGACAATCCCAACTCAAACTTGAGTGTAGTTCAGTTAAGTACAGCGCTGAGTACTATTCAAGAACAAACGAAATGCTTAAGACTTGAATTAATGCTCAAGCAATGGTTCGTGGATTGATGATCACGGCGATACTTGAGTCGCGTTCTGGAATACGACCCTAAGTTTTCTATACTTTTTTTAATATCCTTTTATTACAACAATTGCTAGTTTAATGTGACAGTGCTATTTTATAGATTTGGTAAGAAATCGTGGACGGATGTCGGAGACGTTACAGTGTCACTTGTCTTGTTATTTTGTGACTTGTTATTGGTGATTGGTGAGGACTGGTTTTATTGTAAGGCAAGTGTAAATGCCATGGCTACCACGTCTTTCTATTTATCAGCATATCAGCTTCTTCGATCAATCTTTTTATTTCCCTGCCTGCGGACATGTTCCCCGAACGCTATAACTTGAACCTTTACAAGGCGAGAGTGAATAGGCATTATTTAGGTGTGCATGCTACACGTCGTCGTCGTCGTCGTCGTCGACCCCATCGTCACTTTTCATCAGGTAAGATGGAGGTCAAATGCGAACTTATTTTAACTAAATAAAAAAGAATATTGATGTCGTATTACTCAACGTACTTTCGATATCAGTTTGAAGGTTTTGACATCTCTTACGTAATAATCGCCTGGGCACATTTGGCGGGTACATCCTGTAGGTTGACCTACAGGACTATAATTTATTAACTTTCCATTACAAAAACCGCTTCCCGTACACCACCCGTATCACGTCTTACAAGCCCCTTAATTGCCTATAGACTTTGTTTAAGCGTAGAAAACTAAGTAACTGAAAACCTTTAATCCGAAATTTCCTTTTATGCGAAGTTTAACGACGCAAGTTTAAGGCGCCGCAGCTCAGTGCGTGGATAAACCGGCTGTTAAACTGTAATAGAAGTTCTTAAAATTCAACTTAGTCTTCAGAGAACCACGCGTAGGGACTATATTTATAATAATAATATAACATTATAATGTGCCAGATAACGAAATGTATTACGCGCTTTGAAACTTGGTTATTCTCAGTACTATGAGTATTAGAACAACGAAATCAATGCCAGGCCGCTATCTAGAAGGTTTTTTTTAAATTATTAATATAAAGATCGAATACTTTGAACAAATTCCTTCGATCCGGCCGGATTCAACGTCTTCTAGCAAACCGTGCCAGAAGCTATGCCAACTAAGCCACGGAACGAACCAGCGGACCTCACGAATTTTTCTATGTGCCTGTTGTTGAAGTTTTCAATGACATTTTAGCCGTAGCGCCATCTATGAGAAATCTATGAAAGTATTTCGTCACCCAGTTAGATACCTTTACAGCTACCAGCCCTGACTAGAGATGTCGCTATTAAGCTTTAATAAAATTGTTATTGAATTAAAATTCAATTATTTTTTGTGAAATTACCATTGACTTACAATAATACGGACGTCGGGTCCGCGCTAAAAAGTGTCCAACTTATAGGGCGTTAAAATCGTATACAGAGCGCCATTCACGCTTTAGTCTTCGTTTGTTCGACTGACAGCGAAGCAAGCAAAATTAGACAGTACTGCGATGACATTACAATTTAAATCTAACGTTTTAGCTTTTTCATATTCCTTTACATGTCACTACGTTTAAATAGGTTGACTTGAGACATTTTTTTCGTGGTTTTCGTATTAGACCCGTCGTCCATTTATTTGTAAGTCAATGGAAATTACTTGTTATCCACTAGTTTGTTATAATTGTTAATACAAATATTGAACACTTAGAAAAAAATCCTCTGATCCAGTCTGATTCGAACTGGGGCCTTACCTTGAACTCTTGTTACAGTTCGGTACAGGTTCGTAACGACTAAAAAGCGGGATGGTGATGTGGCGCTATCTCACAACGATTCATTTTAGGTCCTACACTGAATCGCAATAAGAGTTCATGGGAAGGCCCCTGACGTCTTCTAGGGAACCGTGTCAGACGTTGTGCCAATTAAGCTCATTTTTTAATTTTTTTGTTTAATAATTACAACGGACATATTTATCCAAGTACAGTAATTAGCAAGAACAATAACATTAATAATAAACAAAAAACAAGGTACAGGAGACGTTACTAAGAGTAATGAAATTTTAGTTTCTATAGTCATTCGGCTGTGATATTTAATGATGATTTGACGACCTTAGTGGCCCAACGGCTTTCTCTGTGGGCGCTGGATGAGGACGTTCTGAGTTCGATTCCTCGTAGGACCAATTCACCCATACCTATTTGGGTGTTCTGAGCACTGGCCTGGAGTGATTACGTTTATCTGGTACTCATAGCACAGGGTGTTCCCTACTTTGAAACTAGGTAATTGCTATGGTTGTCTGGCACATTATCATTATTATCAAAGAGGATCCCACTAGGCGCTGCGCAGAAACAATTGCGCGTTGTGAGGTATATTATTACATAAAGTGACATACGTCCCATTTCAGCAGCAGTAGAGCTCATTGTGAAAGATTTCGTCCAGGGCAGTACTGCCACTATACATATTTCTGCCGCCAAGCAGTAATGTCAGCATTTCTGTGTTCCGGTTTTGAAGGGTAAGGGTGCTGGTGAAGTAACTGACACATGGGACTTGTTAACTTATGTATCAGGGTGACGGGCGCAATGGTAGTGCCATTTTTCAAATCTTTGAACCTTTTTATAACTTTGATAAACATGTGTTAAAACAGTAATAAATTTACGGGCGTCCCGCTTTGTGGGAAAAAATAATGGTCACTATACCCCGCGGCGTAGTAGGATAAAAGTACTGCCCTTGTTATACCCACAGACCAAATAAATACTATTGTTTGCTTCGGTTAAATATATACCTACTATTTATGTACAATAACACGTCATTTAGTTTAATATTTGCATTCATTTCGCATTAATGTTGTGATAATTTGTATTTATGATACATCATTTATACGGTTATGTTCTATGGTTTTTTATTCTTGAACCTAGTGATGTCCCGCAAGCAACAGGATAGTACTGTTATGTGATTAAAAAAATATGTGGGATGGTGGTTATGATAGAAATATATCCAGAAATTAAGTAAAAGCGTTGCCATAAACGAAAATTTATACGATAAAAAATATGAATAAATCCATAATATTACTTGTGTTATTTACAAATAAATGTTAATATTGCCGAAAAAAATATTAACAAATTATGTATGTGACCAGAAAATTCTCAAAACATGTATGGGTAAAGTAAAAATTTGATTTGGTGGTTTGCATTTTACACTCACTGCATATTGCACATCAGTATGAGGGCGACAGCCTTGTATGCGTCTTGTTGTTTCTGTTCCTTGTGAATTCAGGCGAGTACTACTAAATTCCTATACTATATTAGTAACTTTAACCATACTAGTATTAATGATACTAATTAAAGTGGATGTGTTACGACTCTAAAATTATCTGTCAAAAAGAGGATGCTATCTTGGTTCGACTAGAGTAAAATATTTAATCGAGAAGAGACCAGTCTCTACATGCTCTAATATCTGCCATAGGTGAAGCCTGAAAACCAGCCAAATTTATAAGGCTTTTACCTTTTCTTCGACGTAGATTGAAGCAACTATTGAAGCATAACGTCTTAACTTTGTATTGAATTGACATTCAATTCTTTTTGTGAAATTACTCCACTAGTTTGTTATAATTGTTAATACAAAGATTCGAACCGACGCGCGACGTCTTCTAGCCAACCGTGCCAGACGTTATGCCAACTAAGCCACGGAACGAACCAGCGGACCTCACGAATTTTTGTATGTGCTTGCTTTGTTATGGTTTTGTCAAATCTTTGTATTTGGCTTTCAACGACTTTTTAACCGTAGCGCCATCTATGAGAAACCTATGAAAGTATTTCGTCACCCAGTTAGGTAACTTTAGAGCTACCAGCCCTGGCTAGAGATGTGGCTCTTAACTATAATTAAATTTCTATTGAATTAACATTCAATTATTTTTGTGAAATTACTAGTTTGTTATAATTATTAATACAAAGATTGATTTACAACAATTTAGAATTTAAATCTGAAACTAAACTGCTAAAAAAACTATAAAATATATACAAAAAGACTTGTAGCGATTGCTGCGATTCGCCACAGTGTTTATTTACAATATTACATTGTTATTAGTTCTTAGGTTTTCGCAATTGTTACACATAGGAAATGAAATCATTTATTTCGTGTAATTATATTTGCTTTTTCAAACAAACCAACGTTTCGGGCCCTTTACAGGTCCCATGGTATTCAGCTGTGAAAAATATACGCGATTTATACCCGAAAACATAGTTTCATTACATATTAGGTAAATACTGTTCAGACTTGCTAAACATAAACAATTATTTTTGTCGTTTTCTGCTTTCATATCTCGTGTCTTCAGTGTCTCACAATGCGTGTGTCAATCAATGGCGACAAAGAATGAGATAACGGTGTTCAAAATATTCTCATATTAAATATTTTGCCTACTAGAATTTGCACGAGGATGATTTGGTGCGATATTGCGACGGCAACTTCCAAAGCGTATTTTTATATCGATAGATACTTTTACCAGCTACCATCAGGAAAAGAATATTACATCCGCCTGGATACTTCTTTTTATTTGCAACGTTATTAGAAAAAGTATTTCAAAAATAACCAAAAATCAAAGTAGGCACAGTATATTTACGTAGCTTCCCTATGGAATAGTTCGTCCAGGGAAGTACTGCCACCTTACCTACGTCTGCAGCCAAGCAGTAATGTGACCAGTAGGTACTACTGAAGGGTAAGGGTGCTGGTGAAATTACAGACACATGACTTATCAGCTTATGTTTCAGGATGTGGGTGCAGTGGCAGTGCCCCTCAGATCTTTGTGTTTTAAGGTTCTGAGTGGCAATGGAACTATTATGGAGAGGCGTGTCGCTTACCATCAGGCGCACGACTTGTTCGTCCGGTTACTTGGTATCGTAACTATATGATACCATGCAAAAGAACCACTTTTTCGGGTGTTGTATAAAATGACACCCGAAAAGGTGGTTCTTTTGCACTATGTCAGTTTTCTTTCAGAGGAATCGCAACGCGTAACGGATACTATGTATGTTTGAGGAAATAAACGAGTTACCTATTTAATCTAATATACAAAAGAGAGAGTGAGAGAGATTCATCATAAGTTTATAGAAACGAGACGTGCATGCAATTCACTCTATATAATGTGTGCGTGCAGTTTGTACGTGTTGTATGAAAAGTGTTTTCGAGGAAATATTTTTCAAAATATGTATTGCGCGCTTCACAATTCCTTATCATAAGTCACGTAATCGATATTTTTAGCGAAAATGAGTCAATAACACATCCGGAATCAGCAAAATGAGACCCCCTATAAGTCAATGCCCTATAAGCAGTTTTTTTACATTCGTTAGTTTATTATTTAGTTTCAGTTTTGTTGTCGGGAGTTAACAAACTGTAAATGCGTTGGTTACAAGGAGTGCAGAATTCCTTACTATCTCAAATACTTATTCGTAGGTGACGGTTGCTAGCATAGTATTCACGTCAAGACGTAAAATAAAAGTTTTGCACTCTCCGCATCATAACCATGAGTAAGTATAGTTTATTTATATTTCAAAAAACTTTATTTTGTTATAATTACGATACCTCCAATGATATTGCCAACAAAAAAACGAATTTTGTGAAAAGAAAACAAAATAAAAACAGAGCAGTTCCAATAATTAAGGTGGCGTAGTGTTCATTGGAGGTTTCGATTATAGGTATAAAATTATAACTTGTGATGCAACCTCTAATAGTGATTTAACTGCCTCTGTGGCCGAACGGCTACTATGCTGCTCTGTCACGCAGAGGCCCCGGGTTCGATTCCTGTTCCAGGAGAAATATTTGTATGGCTTTGGGTTTAATTTGTGGTTGTCTATATATATGTCCATGGCACCCGCGATACAGGGTTCCCCTAGTACGAGGTTATGAGCGTATGCCTTATTTAGTTATGTATCAAATAAAACGAAAAATAATTAACTTACCAGCACCATCAGCTACTGAAGCTGCTGCGATCAAACCAATGATCTGCCTCAAATTTAGCATTCTTACTTCTTATACAAAATACGTGAACGTCTCAAACCTGAATGTTATAGAAAAAAATAGTTCTACATTCAAATCACAGTGTAACAGTACTGCGAGCTATCCGAGAACTGAACTCCTTGACAATGATGGAGTAAAACGGGTCCTATTACTGTAACGGACGCAAATCGGATGCGATTACGTGCGATAAATTGGGTAGAATGCACGTTGTGGATTATCAAAACAATGACAGATTACCTTTCATTATGTGTATTTACCTGATTAGAAGAACGTGAGTTTTGTAATTGCAGCCTGTAGAAAAATTGTTATCATCACGAAGAAAACTGCAGCATAGAGTTTAACATTATTATTGACAGTCCCATATTTTTAGGGACGGGCACTATTAACCTGTGCAAGCAAGCCCGCACAGGGACTTACTCGTTTAAATCCTGACTCCAGATCAGCCCATTAGCCGCACGGACATCATCCTGTTCTGAAAAGGCTAGTGCCTGAGTGAGCTGGCCCCGGGTGCACGTTGCCACCGCTAAACCGTTGACTCTACAGTCATTATTATTGACAATAAAGACATAGGGTAATAAGATAAGTATGGTAACTCCGTACGAATGTAACAGCACGGCTTGTATGTGAGCACGCCCACCGTGCGCCGTGTACAGACGCACATATTCTCAATATCTTGCGATGCAGCCGCGTTGCAAAGCGCGGGTCGTCGTACACGCCATTAATAATGGTATTGAAGCAGCTGCTACGGCTACCGATATCAAATATCGAAGAGTCGCCTCAAATTGTCGCAGTTACGGAACGCTATGCTGGGATGCATTGAAATGAGCAATGTAACATAAACTTTATCTTCTATTGGATAAGGTTACATTTCTTTAAACAAAAATGAAGTTTTTATGAAAATGCAGCGGCGGGGGATTGCGCCATACATAATACATAATACATAATATAGAACATATTCTTTACTAAAGAAAGTATATACATTTCTTCTAATAAAGTAAAGCAAGTCGGCATCTCAAGCCGTTACGGGCAATGTAAATTTGTTACTTAATTTTTAACAATAACTTCTTTTAAAGATAAAAGGTGCTGAGACACGTGGCTGCGCAGCGCGAACTTTGGAGGTAGCAATGCCATATAGAACTTAATATGTACTGAATAAAGTGACTATTCGTTTAAATGCAAAAGTCACGCTGCGACAGGCCATGGCGCAACCTGTTGTTGGCAGCTTATGCCGCACGGGCGATGCAAATTGTTTGACTAATATGAATAATGGTACCAATGGTACATCGATAGTATTGCTTGTATACCATGTTAACCATTTTTCAAAGTCGATTATCGGTATAATCAAACTTTCGATAGTTTTTCCACAATGAGTCAAAGTTGAAGTGAGTCCCTCGTTTGAAGATAATGAAATTCCGACGGCAAACGCTTGGTTGAAAAAAGCTTGCGTGTATTTTAAGTCAGGACATGAAGAATTTAAAATGTTCACATTGAATTATAATGGCCGTTATCGATTGTTTTTTTTTAATCTTTGTTCTCGAGGCGAGATGATTTGATTTGTTAACTTGATACTATTTACTCATACAAAATGTTATTTCTATATAATATTTTTCTATTCAATACTTTGAGGCGCCATCTTTTGGCACAATTTTGAACTACACTAGGGAGTAGAGAGAGGAGTGTCCTATTCAGTATTTACACCTACGCATATTAACTATTGTTTATTTATTGTACTTACAATAAATGTTGAATTTCCTGCTCGACCATTAACGAAGGATTTGTTAATAGACCCTCAATGACTTTATCCATAATGTTCACAATTGGCCTATTACTTGCACTTGCATCGTTATTCAAATACAATGTGCAGGGCATTTGCTTGTATCGTTGTATACCTATATATGCTGGACTCGCTTTGTCACCGGGAGACACATTGGCAACTACGTAGGCAAACCTTTAAAGCCTCGAACACAATCGTCATGTAATTTGCCTGTTGATTGTTCACAGAATATATTCTAGAATTTTTGTATAGGTCATTTAATGCCACTCACTCCTTTCTGTCACAGGCTAAAAAATGAGTTACATGCACTGCCGTGATCAGCTAAAAAGGACGCATCTGCCACTATTTTTATTTTATTTCCTGAGTGGAGTAGGTATTCGTCGAGGTGAATGTTCACCGATCCCACGGGGCCGACTCAACCGACGAGAGCTAAAGGGGGTTTTAGTGGGGTAGGCTCAGGAGTATCTATAAAGATTTCCCGCCGTCAAGAAAAAAGTGGACTAGGGATGAAGTTATCGTAAGAGAAAAGGGCGTAAGTACTCACACTTTTATGGTCAAACTAAGTTGAATGGCCGCATTTACAAAACCAATTGGTAAACAGGCGTAATTGCATATATACGTCATTTCGTATACTCAAGTAAATGAAACAAGCAAGTCACATTTAACGTTCTAAATCTTCCTCAGTTACAGCTCTGCATGTGTGTAATTACTGCAAAATGTTAATTTCCCATATGACAGTTACACAATGCTCACATAAATAAATTTAAAATAAAGATGAAATGGTACCTTTCATTTAAGTAATAAAAATCTTGAAAATGTCAAGCTACGACATTGAAAAGACATTGTACCACATACTGCTTTTTTATCTTAAATAATACTTGTTAATACTATTATTAAATCAACAGTCAACACTATTGTTGTAATTATTAATACAAAGATCGAACACTCAGAAAAAATTCCTTCGATCCGGTCGGATTCGAACCGACGTCTTCTTGTATACCGTGCCAGACGCTATACCAACTAAGCCACGGAACGAACCAACGGATCTCACGAATTTTTCTATGTGCTTGCGTCGTGTCTTTGTATTTGGTTTTTCAACGACTTTTTAATCGTAGCGCCATCTATGAAAGATTTATCACCCAGTTAGTACCTTTACAGCTACCAGTCCAGGCGAGAGATGTCGCTATTCACTGCATTAATTAATTTTTTCTCGCGTTCTCGAGCATACGCGAGCGAAAAGAAATGTACAGCGAAAACTTTATAGGAATGTGTCTGTATTTGTCTCATCATCAACCCTTTTATACGTCCTACTGCTGGGCACGGTATACAAGAAGACGAGGTCCTTTCAGACGAGGGTTTAGGCCGTAGTCCGCCACGCTGGCCCAATGCGGATTGAGGATTACAAACGTTTTTTCCTAGGGTTCTGTACCTTCTTCGACGCGACGAAAGCTCATGGTCAATTTCAAATTAAATTTCGCACATAAATTCCGAGAAACTCAGAGGTGTGAACTCGGATTCAAACCCAAAACCCTCTGTTTGAGAGATAGCAGGTCAAACCATTAGGCTACCATGGCTTGTTGTTGTGTATTTATTTACTTAACGCATAAAAGATAAAATGAAATGTAAAAGAAGCATTAATAAATTCAATGTAAGAGGCATACATCGAAACTTTGTCTCCAAACATAAGAACAGCATAGAGCGTACATACGTAGATGCTTATGCACATGCTTGGCTGACTGGTATAATTATTTGGGGAAATAACTCAGGTTCTTTGCGCATTGTTCACTCTAGAAATGAAAATTTATAAGGATATTGGTAAATGTCGACACATTTTAGAGGTGCAGACCACATTTCTTTAAATTTTATTAAATATTCTAACTATGTCTACATACCTACATATTTTAGAAATACGCAATTTCGGTAATGGAAACAAATATGTCATCGATATAGCAAAAGACACCTACACTCTGCCGTCATCTTACATATTTTATTTATGATACCTTAAGTGATGGGACAAACAAGTCGTGCGCCTGGTGGTAAATACGCCTGTCCAGAGCAGTTGCAGTGTTACTCGGACCTTTAAATCGCAAAAATCTGAGGGGCATTGCCACTGCATCTGTTACCCTGATACATAAGTTGACAAGTCCGATGTGCATGTAATTTTACCAGCACCCTTACTCATTATTGCTTGGCAGCAGAAATAGGTAAGGTGGCAATATTTCCCTGGACGAACTCTTTGACAAGGTGCTCTATTGCTACTAAAAAAAATAGACTGGCACTACCCAGGTCTAAATTACAAATGTACAGCACAGGACCATTTGTAATGGCTATTTAAATCTTTAAAGGAATTGCTAAAAAAATTATTTCCACGCGCAGTATTATAATTTATTTACTAAATGCCTTAAAGCACGTTTAATATACATTTAGTTTTGTTCATGTTAATTATTATTATATTAGCTAATTTGAATTTTAATTGTTATTTTATTAATTGTAAATGTTAGTATTTTTAATTTTTACTTCCGGCTAAATTATCATTATTATTTCAGTGACTTTTATATTATGTATTTTGAATATTGTGACATTTCGATTTTAAAATTTTAATGTATAAATAAATTCACCGTACAATCATTTATTACTAATATAGTATAGGGTTGCTTACTAACAAACTATGGACCTATGGTGTCTGAAAATAAAAGATTTTTATTTTTATTTTATTTATTTTATTTAATATAAAAAAATGTTTATAGTCTGTAAGAGGATTTGAGGAGTAAATTCTGGAATACAAATTATAATTATTATTTTTATTACTAGTTTTTCAATTTTAATACATTTAAGTTTTCTATAAAACGAAATGTTATGTTCTTTATTATGTTTATCTTTAATTTATTAGATATACTTTTAATTACGGCGTCCTAACAGGGTCATGTTGGTACTATTTAAATTTTAAGATCTATGAATGGAAAACATGGAAGCAATAAATACTTTGACAAATTATTTTACTCACCATTAGACCCAACACAAAGAATGAAGGTAGAAAGAAACGGATGGGGTACTTACATTTTTTCTCCCAAAATTCACCTACATCAAAGTCTTGACTCTATATTTTCACCTAAAGATTTCCTGTGAGATTCCCTCGCCTTTTCTAACCTCATACATAATCAATAGAAAAACACTCTTACATTTTGTCGAAACGCCTGCATAAAGCATTCAAGCAACATCACAAAGAATTCACATACTCGTCCGCAGTGGCAAACAGGCGTTTTAGTACAATGGTTTGGTCTGGCACTTTGGCAAGCAGCCCAAATATAAATAACGTCTCTTCGTTTTTAAACCTTACCTAATTT